GCTCTCTGAGTTCAGGATTGTTCTCAGGAGGTGTGGCATCCTCATGGCAGACTTCACTTACGGCTTCCTACCTGTCCTGACTCTCGCCTGATATTAGCTCCCTCCCCAGTCTGCTTTTTCCCTGAGTGTTTAGTTGAAATTTAGACCCAGAATTGATCCCCTCGTCTCTCTCATTTGGGGAAAGGTTTGGGGGAAATTCAGCTTTCTTTGTTTGATCTCTCCGTCACTCACTTTTGTTTGTTCCCCCCTTTCTTCCATTCCTCTCTCTGAGGTTCCCTTTTTCTTGGCAAAGGGAGTGACCTGTGTCTGGTTTCTCTCTCTATCCTAGCAGATGATGGGATGGTGAATGAGGAGGAGAATCCTCAACGAGACAATGCTGAGCAAGTAAAAGCACATGGGACATTCTCAGAAAGATCCAAAGGGAATGTTTCCTGGAGTTGTGCACAGGCAAACGACTGTGAGAGTCAGCACAGACCAGGGGAAAAGTTCAGTAGAGGCTCAGACCTTATTAGACATGAGAGAATCAACACAGGAGAAACACCGTACATCTGCCTGGAGTGTGGGAAAACCTTCAAACATAACAATGTCTTTATCATACATCAGAGAATCCACACTGGAGAGAGACCATACACATGCCCCGAGTGTGGGAAAAGCTTCAGTCGCAGCTCAAACCTTACCACACATCACAGAATCCACACAGGGGAGAAACCCCACACTTGTCATGAGTGTGGGAAAAGCTTCATTCGGAGCTCAGAGCTTATGTTACATAGGAGAATCCACACAGGAGAAAGACCCTACACTTGCTGTGAGTGCGGGAAAAGCTTCATTCGGAGCTCAGAGCTTAATAAGCACCAGAGAATCCACACTGGAGAGAGACCCTTCAGATGTACTGAGTGCGGGAAAGGCTTCAATAATAGGTCTCAGCTTGTCACACATCAGAGAATCCACACAGGAGAGAGACCCTACTCATGCCTTGAGTGTGGGAAAGGCTTCACTTCTAGCTCACATCTTGTCTCGCATCAGCGAATCCACACAGGAGAGAAACCCTATTCATGCCCTGAGTGCGGGAAAAGCTTCGTTTCTAACTCACAGGTGGTCTCACATCGGAAAATCCACACAGGAGAGAGATCCTATTCATGCCCTGAGTGTGGGAAAAGCTTC